TCTCAACTGATTATTGGAGAGATCCTTTCTTGAGTATTCTGAATGCATCACAGACCAGAAGCTTCCTCCTGGAGGAAAACCCAGCATTGGATTACCAGATCCTAGACAGCTTACAGAATTTTCAAGAGAGATGCCAAGTAAAAATAAAGAATGTGATGTTCTGAAAAATATTGCTTGTCCTCATGTTGGATGTACAAGAGTGTTGGCAAATAAAGGTTCCCTGAGAAAGCATCTCCTTATTCATGGACCCCGAGATTATGTCTGTGCTGAATGTGAAAAGGCATTCACTGAGAGCTCAAAACTAAAAAGGCATTTTCTGGTTCATACTGGAGAGAAGCCATTTCAGTGTACCTTTGAAGGGTGCGGAAAACGCTTTTCCTTGGATTTCAACTTGCGCACACATGTACGCATCCACACTGGCGAGAAACTTTTCGTGTGTCCCTTTGAAGGTTGTAACAAGAAGTTTATTCAGTCCAATAACATGAAAGCACACACCTTAACTCACGCAAAAATCAAGAACCAGTGAAAGTGAAGAAGGAAAATAATCCCTCAGTAGGATAAGTGTATTGCAAAAGAATGTGAACAAATATGCCTCGCTGATTATTGCTTCTAGGAAAGAATTTTTAAATCAGTATTGCAACCCTAGAATTCTGCCTTTTTTTTTTTTTCCCCTAGTGGACTGAGATGCTCTTACAGTTTGTGATGTTGTATAAGAATGTTGTATACAGGATTATAGGGCACTTCCAACCAACGGAAAGGTCAGTTAAGAACAAAAACAGAATCCTTGGTACATTAGGAACTGATTATTGGATTTGAGGCTTATTTTTTCACATACTGTAAATGTAAAATTAGCTCTGGTTTTTAAGTTTGTGGTTTCTAATTGTTTAACTTTTGCCTCTTAGGACTATGTTATGAGTGATAATCCTAGAGAAAGAACTTTTGCAGTAGATTTTCAACAAGTAGATGAGTAAACTTTTTTAAAGTTAAATAAGTTAAATATGTTAATCATTTTTTTTTATCATTGTATCAAACTCTTGAAATCATATAACTAAATGTGAGTGATTACTTAATAGTTTTTAATCCATTTTAAAGATTTTAAAATAAAAGGAAGTAAAATCCTAGAAGTATGCTAAATCTGAATTGAAAAATAAAAAATTGTGCATTAAAAAGTGACACTATGTGTTTGTCTACAAAATTAGCAAAACATTGCAGAGACTTGACAGTTTGCTATTGTTGGGGGGAATTACCCTTCTACACAACTGGGTAACTTAATTAACAGAAACGTATTGTCCCATAGGCTAGAAGTCCAAAATCAAGACATTGATGGGATTGGTTCTTTCTGAAGTTGTGAAGGATCTGTTTTAGCCTTTCTTCTTGTTTGTAGATGACTGTCTTCATGTACACATTGCATTCTCCCTGTATCATCACATCATCTTCCTATGTGCATGTCTGTGTCTAGATTCCCACTTATAAGGACTACAATCATGGCATCAAAATGCACCCTAACAACCTCATTTTAACTTGATTACCTATATAAAGACTCCATCAAACAAGGTCACTTATGAAGTACTGGGATTTAGGATTTCAGCATGAATTTGGGGGGAGAGGGTTCATGGTCAATCCATAATGTGTACTTTTAGACTCAATATTTTAATTCTAGAATTCTGTTTTACAGAAATATTTGCACTAATATATGAAAATACTTAGGGATATTAACTAAAGCATATTTTAATAGTAATAAATTCATAAATGTCCATTAAAGAACAAGTTACATAAATAAGGATCTCTCCATTCAATAGAAAATGTGCAAGTATTCTTAAAGGAAGCTTGTCTGTAAAAGCAGTTAAAAAGGGCCACAGCTTCAGTGAAGATAGAGAATAGGGAGAAGTTTGTTATTTTTAATAGATGGGACAGTATTTGATATGTTTATGTGCTGTGGAAGAAAACGTAGAGAAAGTGGTTAAACATAATCATTTTTTATAAGAGGGGAAATTGATTATCCAAAGACGACTGCCAAAAATAAAACTAGGCTCTAATAGGGATTAACTCATTTTATGATTATAATAACTGAGTCCTTGATTGGAGTCACCTTATATTAGGCAGAAAATACGCCATCAAACTTCACATGTATTTCTCTCTCAGAATCAATACTATAAATGATCAGATATAGTTAGAGAGTACCATATTTGATTTAAGATTTCAGACACAATTGGCAGTAATGCTCATATATATGTTAACAGATTTTCAGGAAATCAATACACTATAAAAACAAACCAACATTGTGGGGCCTCCTGGGTGGCGCAGTGGGTTGAGCGCAGCACTGTGAAGCTATCCGCAGCCTCTGTAGTGTGGGTTCGATTCTTGGCCAGCCAGGGGAGATACCCACATGGTGTGACAGACCTCTCCTGTCTTGCCTGCTGCTCCCCTCAGCAATGTTTTTCATCAGTCTGCCTGTTATGCTCCCCGCTCTGTCTCTGGTGAATTATCTCATCCTCCATGCCTCTGGCCTGTACCCTAGTTCTTGTATAAATAAAATAAACCTTAAAAAAAAAAATTGAAATTTATCTTGATTTTAGAAATGCCAAAATAGGGGCCTCCCTGGTGGCACAAGGGTTTAAGCACAGCACTGTGAAGCTATCTGCAGGCTCTTCAGCAAGCACGAGTTCGATCCTCAGGCAAGCCAGGGAGCTACTCACATGGCACTTTTTTTTTTTTTTAATTTTTACTTATGCATACAAGAGCTGGGTACAGGCCAGAGATGCGGGAGGTGAGAGGATTCACCAGAGACAGAGCAGGGAACAGAACAGGCAGACTGACTGAAATACAGTGCTGAGGGGAGCAGTAGGCGAGACAGGAGAGGTCTGCTGCATCATGTGGGTAGCTCCCTGGCCAGCCGGGGATTGAACTCGTGCTTCAGAGGCTGCAGATTGTTTCATAGTGCGGTGCTTAACGCCTTGTGCCACCAGGGAAGCCCTGTACTCCAGTTCTTGTATACATAAATAAATAAATCTTTCCCAAAAAATTTATAAAAAAAGAAATGCCAAAATATAAAAACATGTAAATTTAAAAACAGAAAAATTCTGGGGCTTACATTTTGACTACAGAGTGAGCTATTAATTACTAATGGGCTATTATGATAATACAATTTTTTATTTATATTGGCAAGGCATTTATACCATCATTTCTATAGGAATGTGGATCCTGAGTCTGAGTTAAAAGGCACATTGAATACATAATCCATTCATAAATTTGGAATTTCCTCTGTATCTGAGTACAGAATTTAGAGTAGGAATTTGGTATTTGATCAAGATAATGGAGCACATATTTGTTTAGTGTTTGCTTCGATGACAGTGTGCTTGACTTGGTCCTTTATGGATTTCTACTGCTCAGTCAAATTAGGACATAGCCCCTCTGAAGGCTAAGCAAAAGACTAGGATTAAACCAGATAAAGACTAAATAAAGTCAATGGCAAGGTTTACATCCCAAGTGTTGAGACCTAAAACTCAGGTCATCAAAAGGGATCAAGATTGACTTCCCCTGTGGGGATACTGGCTATTTGTAAATTTCTCTTTCTGGAGCTGAAGGGACGAGAAAGTCAGTATTTATAATCCTAAAGCGAGGAACATCATTCTGAGAAAGTGTTTGTGCATCTAGATCAGGTTTAGTTAAATTCTGATATGGGAATAGGATGCTACTTGGCTAGTCTCTTAGCTGTCTTTTCAGTTTGTTTGTTTGTTTCCCAAAGAGAAACATAAAACTGCTAAGTGGAAGAAGGCAGGAGGATGTAATAAAAAAAGGCAAAAGGAGATTAACTAATGAGGATATGTCATCTGAAATCTGTTAATGTTTCAGTAAAGAGATGTACATATACTTTCCACATTTTCATTTTCAGATGAGCGAACACAAGATGTGTGAACATATATAGAGAGAAAACTGAAAAAGAAAATAGATCTAGATTTTTACATTTTTGCAGATACTGGCATTTACAAACCAAAAAATCTCGATGAATGAAGTATTTATGTTTTCATGCTGGTATTTTAATTCATAGCCTATATCTTTTCTTAAAAAAAAAAAAAGGCTGAACATTAATATCAGAAGGTAGAGGGGCCTCCCTGGTGGCACAACGGTTAAGTTGCAACACTGAAGCAATTGGTAGCCACTGCAGCATGAAGTTGGATCCCCAGCAGGGGTTCTGACCCACATTGGGCTGCATACCTCTCTTGTCTGCAGGCTGCTCCCCTAGGCAATGTATTTCAGTCAATATGCCTGTTCTGCTCCCCACTCTGTCTCTCGTGAATCCTCTCACCCTCCCCACATCTCTGACCTACACCCCAGATCTTGTGCACATAAATAAATCTTTTTTTTAAAAAAAGGTAAAATTAGAGAAATATTTTCTATGAAAGGCTGAAAATCATAAAACAGTCCGTTTTCTTATGACTGACATAAGCCATAATTAGTTGGCACAATAAATTATGGAATCAATAAATGAAAATACAGATAAATATGCTCTAAAAATGAATTAGAAAGTTATTTATATATAATTTAAAAACAGCTCATAAAGCATTGCTTGTTTTTACATAAACTCTGGTTACTGATTACATAAAATCTGGTTACTGAACACCTTTGCCAAAATAATGGAATGCTATTGGGCAGAAAGAACAGATGTATTTATTTGCCTATGCACACATCAACTCTTCCTCCCCAAAGTCCACACTCTTAAAAAAGATTTTAATAAGTTGTTTCATTCATTGATCATATGAATGAAAGTTACCATAAATCTCCTTTTCTTTTCCTCTCTTTCTCCTCTAGAAGGGACAGAAGACTGAGGGTCTCTTACCTTCTAACACTTTGGATAATGTAGAACTCACCTGTGTTGAAAATTGCATCCACCAAGACTGATTAGATAGTTTTTAAAAATGTTAAACCATTTACATTCTTTCTTTAAGTTAGTTTTTTTCATGTTCTATGATCTGTGTGTAGGTGTTACAAGGTAATATTTAATTTCTGTATTTCACTTTACCGACAACATATATTAGTAGACATAGGATTTCTATCCTATTCTATACAAAAAGAATTCTATCCCAAAGCAGATTAGTCAGATCTTTGTATGACTTTCCTGCAGAATATGCATGTGCAGAAACCCATGTGTGCTTATGTTTTAATTACCTAATGCACTAGCTCTGACTGAATAAATTGCATGATTACATCCTACATTGGACACAGAACAGTGCAAGTTATATTAAAATGCCATTATATTTGCAACTCTGAGTGAGAGACTATAATTAAAAGGCAATTGGATGAAATTAGCTTTGAGAGTACAAGAGTTTAAGTAGAATTTGGTAAATGAACATTAACAGTTAACATGTGGTTTTTATTAGTTTTTTTGCTTCTCCCCTTTCTGACCCCAGGGTTGAATTTCTTAGATGTCAGTGGACTAGACATGCAAAAACACCTGTAAAGCTATGCTTTACCATGTGTCTAAAGTTTTATCTATATGAAAGCCAATATAACTTTTGTGACTTCAGTAA